GAATCCATCCATTTTCAAAAGCTAAACAAAGAATATTTTCATTGAAAGAATTAGTGACTTTTGTTAATAATTAACTGTCATTTATTTCAGAAGTTTAAAAACCTCCTAGTACTGTCCAACTACTTAACCCCTTTATTATCAACAAATAGATCGTAAGAATTTTTTCATTATAAACATTCATTGTAACAGTTTTTATATGTTATCATTTATATAATTTTTTTCAGGATTTAAAGAGAATTCTTCATTATCGATTTTGATTTGGGGGGTTATTCTGTTGTGTGTCTGTTCAACTTGAGAATCTTGTTTCTATCCATCAACATTTCGATCTAAGAAGCGACGAAGTTTCAAGAAACCTCGAGTTGAATCCAACTACTCCTCTACACGAGGATACTACTCTCAATGACCTTCCTCCTGAAACCCCTCATCAGGAAGTTCAAAGATGTACAAGAAACAATCCCTGCAGAATGCAAGGATGTATGATATGCCCTACACCTACCAACCATGTCAGCAATCTAGACGAGGAACTGAACATCTACAAACTCAGCTCACCCCCCTCCGCCCTCTGCCAACCTTCCTCAACCCCCCCCTAATCACCTCATCCTACTCTTTACTCACCAACTCTGTACAGCAATTCAGCAGAATAACATTGAAGTGATGGAAATGACCAAGAAACTGCTCCAGAAAACACTGGAATCTAACCTTGAATTCCTTATGTATGACTGCTCCGCCTTGACGCCGCCTGCAAGACCGCCTCAGACCTCCTCGCCATCCACTACTCCTCATCCACCACCAAACCTGACCCCCCCCCCCCTTACAGCACAATCAACAACCTCGTGCTAGTTTCAAACCTCCTAAGCTTGATACACCAACCTGGAGCGGCAAATCTGGAGACTTCTACCCCTGGTTGTCGACCATCCTGAACGGATTCAACCTGACCCTTCAAGCTGAAGATGTTGTCAAAGTGGCCCTCACTTTCCAAGCCATCCCTCTTGCTAAACGAGGACCTTTCAACAACATCATTGACTGGCCCACCATCAAGGTCAAGCTGATAGAAGAGTTCGGAAGCATAGATATTTTTGGGAGAGATGTCAACCAAACATTTAACCTCCTCCATTGCTACAAGTCGGTCCAGGAAATAGCTGAGGACCTCTCCCCCAAGATTAAGGCCCTACAGGCCAACCTGGACATCATGGAGAACTTCCACAACATGGAAAACCTTCACAGCGTTGCCCTCACCCAGTCTCTGGTGCAGAATATTATTAAAAGCCTGCCCATGGAAGTGAGGCCAACTTTCAACGATCAGTTCTCCAAATTCCGCAAACAGTGTCCAGACAATGTCTGACCTCCAGCCACGTTTTTATTCCTAGCCCAATTTGTGGACGAATTGGAGAAGAATTATCAATCTACTCCTTATCTCTATTACCTCAACCTCGCTCTCTCAAACATAGGGGTCAAAGTGGTCTGAATTCTTCTGACCCATAGAGATTCCGTCCTCCTAAACCCTGTGCATGTGTACAATAATGGGGTTTGAAGCCAATCACTTTTCCCTCAGCAAGTACTGTGGAACTGGTAAACTGAGCTCACCGAAGATCATCAAAGTGATCGCCGAAAACAACCTCTGTTTCACCTGCACTCAAGCTCACGGCAGTAGTTATAAGTGTAAGCTTACTCTCACGAACGGAACCTCCAGAGTGTGTCCCAAGGTATGCTTGCAGCATGGAATCCTGGTGAACAAAAGGGCTTGCATGCACAGCAACCAGGCCCACTTCATCACGGTCCCCACGGTCAGCGCTAACCAGTCGAAACCTTGAACCTGGGTGGGACGAAGATAGAAATCCAGTATGACATCGGCTGTCAACTTAGCCTCATCTCCCAGTCAGCTCTTTTGACCATACCCCAATACATGTACTCCCTTGGAAGATGAGAGTGCTGACCTACTCAGGGAAGGCAAGAGTTATCCTCACCACTGAGGTCAAGCTGAAGCTACTCGGGAAAACCCTGAAGCTAGCAACAATAGAGGACAACCTCAACAACGGTTCTGGATTTTCACTTTCAGTTCCTCACAAGTGGAGGTCGTTCACAGAGACTTTGACCTCTCAGCATACAGGCCAAGTAGAAATTCTACTTGGCGGCGATAACAACTAATTCTTCCCTTCAGAGATTGAATGTGACTCACAGGGAATGGCCCTGTACCGGAGCAACCTGACCCAGGGATACATGGTGTACGGATCTGTCCCCTTCAACATCGTCACCTGGGTGGAGCCTCTCGACCCTTCCTCCAATCGTACCAGGAAAATCAAGAGGTCAACCTGGCAATCTGGAAAAGAAACAGGTGGGAAACCAGATCTTCCTGTTCAAAACCCGGAAAAGAACCAAGACAACAGGAATAGAACCAGGAGGGGAACAAAAACCTCCGGAAGGAAATTGGGAGGAAAACCTGGGAAATTAGGAGGTGAAACAGGAGTAACCTCAATTTCTTCTAGAAGAAATCAGGAGGAGAACCAGGAAGCACGGGTTCAGAACCAAAGCAACAGGAAAGGAAACAGGAGGAAACCCAGGAGCTTCAGAGAGAAATTTCAAGGTCAGGAAGAGAAACAGGGGGAGAACAAAGCTTTCCAACCTGTCCTGAACCTCACACCTATCCCAGCTTCTGTCCAATCTGACCCTACAACCACTCCAGTTACTCCCACCAGACCAGAATCCCAGAACTATTCCAACACTCCCGTCAATTCAGGAAATCTAGCTCCAGCTCTGAGATCCAGACCAGAGCCTACACAAGATGAGTTTCATCCAGATCTCAACGAACTCAATCAATAGAACTATACCAAGCACCAACGCAGGAATCAACTATTAAAACATTTTAATTTCTTTTTTTAGAACACACACAGGAAAACGTTTCTATTAAATTAAATTAAATTTTCCCTAAAAAATACAAAAGAAAGAACATTAAAATTAATGATTCTTGAAGTTGACGCAATCACTTGCATTTCTATACTAAATTAAATAATAATCTCTTCAATTTTAATTAATTCCTTCATTTAACTCTTTAATTTAATTTATGATCGAGATCTCAGCTCATTCTCAGTTTACATATTGATTTTTTTACTCTTCCTTTAAATTATTTTGGCAAACAATTCACAGGAGAATGTGCAGCATGCATTCATTTTACTTCATTGTTTTAATCTCATCAATTATTTGCCTGTTAAATACAGTATTTATTAATGTAACTACAATAGAAACATGTACCTTATAGCATTACATCTGTTTATTTCAATCAATCAATCTAGTAACTATCAATCATTCAAACTACATTGTTAATGGTTATCCTTTTAATTCTTGTATGTTACCCTAACACCCTCGAACCCTGTCTGGGGCCAGTGTCAACCATTAACTATGCTCCGTGTAAAGTCATCTTTAACTTAGATTCCCTCTCGTAGACACCAAAACCAAACCAATTAATTTCAACCTCCGGTTTCTTTGTTCTCCCTGTCGGAATATAAACAACCTAAAGCATTGTGAATCCATCTATTTTCAAAAGCTAAACAAAGAATATTTCATATAAAGAATTAGTGACTTTCGTTAATAATTAATTGTCATTTATTAAAAACGTCTTAGTACTTGTCCAACTACTTAACCCCTTTGTTATCAACAAAAAGATCGTAAGAATTTTTTCATTATAAACATTCATTGTAACAGTTTTTATATGTTATCATTTATATAATTTTTTTCAGTAAATACAGAGAATTCTTCATTATCGATTTTGATTTGGGGGGTTATTCTGTTGTGTGTCTGTTCAACTTGAGAATCTTGTTTCTATTCGTCAACAACGTTACGATTTATCGAAACTTCATTGTGAAACCTTTTTTGCTACACTTTTTTACAACTGGCAATCAAGACTGTTTATTCGTTTTGTTTCTAAGAACGTTTTGAAAAAATGCTCTATATGTTGCGTTGTATTAAAATGTTCAGGCCTTAACGTTTCTTACGTTACAATTCATTAAAAGTAATATTGTTTCTAAATGAAAGCATTACAAGATTTTTTCCGTGATAATTACATTCCTACTTTAGTATTTTTCATCCTAAAACATGAACCATGCAAAAAAAATTGTGTTATAATCCCATTTTTACTCACCCTGTATGTTGCTGAACGTATTGTTTACCTTTTTAAAGATTTTGTAGAAGAATATGCAATATAAAGATGTTATGACATTATTATTTTTACGGTTTTTAAAAATTTGTGAATGAAAATTGTTAGCATTAGACTTTCAACTCAAGGGTGTGTCTCAAAGGGACTAGAGACGTAATTTCAAGTCACCTTCCATTTATGGAGTAGCATGTCCAGCATGCATTTACAAGATAGGAAAACGCTGGTATTTTCAAATCATCAATCAGATAAAGGTATACACGCTACCATTGGGAATCGAGCATGGCCCTCTTTAAATGGAGGATCACTTGAAATTATCATCATGTATTTGACGAGCTTTAAAAATTGACATGTTTTGGGACACTTTAGTTTACAAACCACAATGAAAATGTTTTCAGGGTTCATGGTTGGGTTTAAAAAATATCAAATAAAGTAAGACAAATGCTAAATCTTTTTTAACACAAAAATTCTTTTCTAAAGTTTCATAAAAATCTATTGATGAATAAAACATAACACGCATTTTCCAATTGATAAAATATTTTTGCATTTTAGTAAGAATCTACTAAATTGTTCAACCTAAAACATGAACCATGCCAACTGAAGTTATGATTTCAATTTGTCAAATAAACATGAAACACAGCAATTGTGTTCACAGACCTGTTCCACTTAATAAGTTGATTTTTTTGCCATTAGTAAATTATTTACTTATAACAGAAAATGCATTTGTAAAATTTCTTCAATGTCGTCTTCCTTTTCAGTAGTTTTAGTGGGTTTCACTTTCATTAAACAATGGCAAATCAAAAACCTTTAATGTCCAAGAAACATTTATAAGATTTGAATTTTCACTAATAGAATGTTACAAAATGTTACTCTCCCTGTCCGTTCTACTCTCCCTGTCCTTTCTACTCTCCTTGTCCTTTCTCCTCTCCCTGTCCTTTCTCTTCTCCCTGTCCGTTCTACTCTCCCTGTCCTTTCTACTTTTCCTGTCCTTCCTACTCTCCTTGTCCGTTTCACTCTTTCTGTCCTTTCTACTCTTCCTGTCCGTTATACTCTCCCTGTCCTTTCTACTCTCCCTGTCCTTTCTACTCTCCCTGTCCGTTCTACTCTCCCTATTCTTTCTCTTCTCCCTGTTCTTTCTACTCTCCCTGTCCTTTCTACTATTCCTGTCCTTTCTACTCTCCTTGTCCGTTCCACTCTTTCTGTCCTTTCTACTCTCATTGTCATTTCTACTCTCCCTGTCCTTTCTACTCTCCCTGTCCTTTCTATTCTCCCTGTCCGTTCCACTCTTTCTGTCCTTTCTACTCTCCNTTTTTTTCCCCCCCCCCCCCCGTCCTTTTATCTCCTCTTAGTTCTTGTCTACTTGTCCTGTCTTATTTCTCTTCATATCTTTTCTAATCTCACTGTCCTTCTACTCTTCCTGTCCCTCTTCTTCATTTGTGTCCTTTCCTTTCTTCCTGACCTTTCTACCTTGGTCCATATTTATATTCTTGTTGGCTAATAATTAAATCTTGTTTTAATCCTATAAAAACAAAATGGAGTTTTTTTAATTTAAAAATAAAGTTTTTAAATTATAAATGAACTCTAAGTGAAGCCAGGCAAAACCATGGTTGTCTAGGGTTATATATACACACAATAGAGCCCTAACCTTGGACGCCATTTCCATACAAAGGGTGGTGGTGGGGGGGGCCTTCTGACTTTGTTTTTAGAGATATCTCTCCGATTTTTGGCAAGCAGGCCTGAATTGTGATCTATATATGCATGATTTTTATTAACACTCCATTTTAAGAGTACCATATCTCTGTGAAATTATTATTTTCAATTAAGTTCTCTCTATTAAGTAACTTAAACTGTAGACATATCAGATTCAAAACTATGAGGAAAATTGTAAAAAATTGAACACATTTTTAATAGAAAAATAAGAGTTTCAGTTCAAGGGTCAAAAGAAGAGTTTGTGTCCAAAGCTCAATTCTTTTGCGTTCTCACTAGCTATAACAATTGTATTTTTTAACTAATTAAAATATCAGAATTTGAGTTAAGTTATCAGTTCCTTTGGCAAATTTAAGTTAAAGAACTCCCACCAATTTAATAGTTAAAGAACGAGGTTATTTCTTTAGCTAGAGTTGAATTGTTGGACCAATGTTTACTTTAAAATAAAATATTAAACTCAAAGCTTTCCACATCAGGCTTACCTCACAATTAATTTTTAATGAAATTTAAGTTTATATAGTTACATGGTTACATTGAAGCTAGCTTTNGAACGAAAAATCGGCTTTTTCTCCGGCCACAGTTGTCTTTGAAAAGTAAGACTATTACCAATCAAGAGCGAATAGGCTGTTTAGTTTACCCTGAAATTACCCAAATAAGTGAACGGGCCCTTTAACATCTTCAAATAGGTTTAAAAAAAACGATATTTATGATAAAAAGGAATGAAAATAACACTATCCTTAAAAAACATTTTTTTTATATTTCATATTTATTAATGTGTTTATATTTTACATTTAAAAAAAGTAACTATTGGATAAAAAAACTTTGTACACGAAAACTCTTTGTGTAAACAAGGGCTTTGCACAGTGCTGATTGTTAACTGCTAGATTACAATGTGGGAATATATTCTCCTCTTCCTCATTCCTCAGGTTAAAGTTGTGTCAAGTATTATTTGGATTTGGAAAACTTCTTTTTCACACTTGTTAAATAAAACTGCATAAATAAATCAAAAATCAATCATTCATAAATCCTCATAATTATAAAGAAAAGATAAAACCTTTTTTGTAACTGTTTGCAGTGTTTATTAGTTGTATCTTTTCTTCGACAATAAATGCAAACAAATGTTAAAATATAAAATTTACTTGCATAAACTTTTGATTGAAATAAAGTGTTTTGGGAGAGATGAAAGATTCAGATCTTACATCTTTGTACCAAGAGAAGTAAGTCTGGAGTTCTGGATTTCTAACAGTGTTACTAGTGCACACAGGTTCAGAACAGAGATTCAGGTAATAAAGTGTTGTTTGTATCCAAAAAACGTCAAAACGTTAACCGATCAGGCCCAAATTTTGTGTGGAACCTCCCGTGGCCCTAGGAAAGGTTTATTAATGATCAAAATTTCAAAAATTTGCCTACAACAAAAATCGATTTTCATTAAATTTTAGAAAATTTTGAAAATCCACGAAATTTTTTGTTGAAATCCGTTAGATTTTTTTGTTCTGTTTGCAATGTACACAAAGAGAACATGTTCACAATTAAAATAGAAGATGGGCGCAAAGCGCCCTAAAAACCTAGTATATATATACTTTGCTTGTCTGCTGGTCTTTTTGTATCCATTAAACGTCAAAATGGCTGAACCGATCAGGCCCAAATTTTTTGTGGCACCTCGCATGACAATGGGGAATGTTTATGAATGAAAACCTTTCAATGTTTTTTTACACTGTACAAAGAGAATAGCTCACAGATAGAGCAAGAATAAAAAGTTAAAATGTAAGATGGACGCTGAGAGCCCTAAAAGCCTAGTTTTATAAAAACCATCATGGTAAAAGTAGAGCATTTCACTTTTTCAATAGTTTGGTCCATATTCTAGCTTCCAAAATTGGACCTGTTAACCATCTATGTACGAAGGGGTCGATATCAACTCAATTGTGAACCCAGAAACCAAGTTCAAGCATATTTTTGCTTGTTTTTGTTTTAATTCGGTGAAGATCTGGATAGGTAATGAGAGGATACGCAAAAATATAGACAAAAATGTGAGACACCCTTTACATTTTTACAAAGTTAACATTTTCGTGATTTTTGTTTAAAAAAGTAATTACTTTTTTATAATTTACATTTTATTGGATAAAATTATTGTATTAGTATAATTTTGTCAGCTTTTTTGAGCAGTCGTTATCGACCGTTTCGCACCTGTGGGGGACACAACTTTAGGGCAAAATGGACAGAATTGCATTGTTCTTTACATTTTCATTGCTAATACGTGTTAAGAAGGTAGGGATGGAAAGGGATACAAGGGATGGGATGGGAAGGGAGGGATGGGAAGAGATGGATGGGAAGGAGGGAAGGGAGGGAGGAATGGAATAGATTCATGATTGGAAGGGAGGGACGGAATGGGAAGGGAAGGATGGGATGGGAAGGGAGGGACGGGATGGGAAGGAAACATGATTTATGTGAATGTACAGGGGTAAATGAATAATTTCTATACGGTAAATCTAATACATAGTATAAATTTCATTAAACCTAGTTCTACAAGATAACAGGGGTAGGGTTTCCAGTCGAAATTTTTTGCACAAAAATCGTGAAAAAATTGCGCAAAGATTTGCTTATGTTTCGAGTAAAAATTCCACGAAATTTTGATGTTTTTGCGCATTGATGCGCTAAGGCTTTTTCGCTTAAATTCTGAAGATAATCTTGGTATTTGCATATTTGGTTATTTCCTGCTATTTCGTTATTTCTGTTATTTTAAGCTATTTTGTTATATCGAGCTATTTTGTTATTTTGAGCTATTTCGTAAAATTTCGAGAAACAATTCCAGGAAATGATGAAAAAATTCAAAATTAAACCAATCAAAGTCAACTATATTCCAGCCTGCTCGGCGCTCACAAATGCTGGCTGAATGAGCCCCAAATCTCAGGTTTTAGGTCACCGATTATTACACCGTTTACCATCAATCTCAAGTAGTATCCACATTCAATTTGTTTTAAAATGTAAACAAAAAGAACATGTCCACAATTTAAATAGAAGATGGGCGCGAAGCACTCTAAAAGCCTAGAAAGAAGGGCGCGAAGCGCCTTGAATTTCTAGTACATATAAACTAAACAGTTTGTTTTTAATCTTCATTCGACAGAAATAATTCCAAGGAATAATAATTTTCTAAAACATTCTTTAAAAATTTGCAAATTATCTTTTTTCCATCTCATGATCTGAGTTTGTTTCCCTTTTGTCCATTTAACAGACCATTAAAACAATTTAAATAATCTTTTTTGTTTGTTTATTTTCTTGTGGTTTTTAAGATTGATTTTGATAATTATTATATCGTTTCAACTGACGAGGGTCAACCGAAATATATTTTTAACAAAATGTGGAACTAGCATCTATTTTTTTTCTACAGAGATTTGGTATATCACCAAATTTTAATTCAATTTGAAAGTATTTAAATTATCCAATCAGTGCGCGCATATCCTTACACATATTTTCTCGCTATATTCATTCATTTATGAGAATAAATATGTACTTTATTAATTATGGAATGGTTTCGTATTGCGTAATTTCGCGTAATTATGCCTTAATTACGCAAAATTAGACTATCTTTCGTATACATAATTAACACATAATTTCACGAAAGATAGGGGTTATTATTATAAACATGAATAAGAAGAGGAAAGCTAGAGGTTATTATTATACACATGAATAAGAAGAGGAAAGATAGGGGTTATTATTATGCATATAAATAAGAAAAGGAAAGATAGAGGTTATTATTATACATATAAATAAGAAAAGGAAAGATAGAGGTTATTATTATACACATGAATAAGAAGAGGAAAGATAGAGGTTATTATTTTACACATGAATAAGAAGAGGAAAGATAGAGGTTATTATTATACACATGAATAAGAAAAGGAAAGATAGAGGTTATTATTATACATATAAATAAGAAGAGGAAAGATAGAGGTTATTATTATACATATGAATAAGAAGAGGAAAGATAGGGGTTATTATTATTCATATGAATAAGAAGAGGAAAGATAAAGGTTATTATTATACATATGAATAAGAAGAGGAAAGATAAAGGTTATTATTATACACATGAATAATAAGTAGAAAGATAGGGGTTATTATTATACACATGAATAAGAAGAGGAAAGATACAGGTTATTATTATACATATAAATAAGAAGAGGAAAGATAGGGGTTATTATTATACATATGAATAAGAAGAGGAAAAATAGGGGTTATTATTTTATACATGAATAAGAAAAGGAAAGAAAGAGGTAAATCTGTTACATTATTTTTGTCCTTATATACAGTTTTTCCCTAGTTTGAGGACTAATAGAGTCTATCAAAAGCATTTTCGTGATCAAGAAACACTTTAATTGTGTATCTTTGTTGACTTTAAAAGTCATAATATTAAAACAAAGAGATCTAAAAGGATATTTCTTAACATTTATTTCCTTATATACAGTTGTTGTCGGATAGGAACAAGATTCTGACGATGAACAGATAGACAACGGAATAACCCTCAAATCAAAATCGATAATGCAGAAAACTCTTTATTTCCTAAAAAAATGAAATGTATAATGATAAATAATTATTACAATGGTTTACGAATTTTATAATGAAAAGATTCTTACGATCTAATTAGGGATGACAGACAGGGTTGAAAATTGTTTGGTTAGAAATTAACAAAGGAAATTATTGACGAACATCAGCAGTAACATCAAGGGAGCTTTGTAGAGCTTCATGTTGGTGGTGCAGATCACCAAAATCTTTTTTTACATACATTATTACAATTTATTGTATATATCTAATATGATGCGGAATAATTCTATTTGAGTGTTGAAAATCTTTTGCACTCCGCGGCCAAAAATGAGTTTAATTCTTCAATTTTTTTATTTTGTTCGTTTCTCTTCTCCCTTTCCCTTTGCGCAGATGACTGACGGAACTGACGAGTCCTCTTGGAACTGGATACAGATTTTTTCTGGGACATTAGTATAGACTGGGGCGTTTCCTGGGACTTCACCAGGGAAGTTGGAGTATCTTGGGACCTCACGGCGAAAATGGGAGTCTCCTGGGTTCTCACAATGGAAGTGGTCCTTACAACGTAAGTGGGAGTCTCTTGGATCACGGAAGTGGGCGTCACTTGGGAAATCCCCACGGAACTGGGAGTCATCTGGGACATCACCACGGAACTGGGAGTCATCTGGGACATCACCACGGAACTGGGAGTCATCTGGGACATCACCACGGAACTGGGAGTCAACTGGGACATCACCACGGAACTGGGAGTCAACTGGGACATCACCACGGAACTGGGAGTCATCTGGGACATCACCACGGAACTGGGAGTCAGCTGGGACATCACCACGGAACTGGGAGTCGTCTAGGACTAAGTTTACGTGCATACAAGTGTTGTTTTCTTTTCCGAGAGTTTAACAGTGCTGCTCATCCACGGGTTTATCGGAGAGTTTTTAATTGTTTTTTTTTCTCGGTAAAAACAAACATTCCTCGTAGCACTTTCTCAAAAAATAGCGTAAATGATTTTTCCACACGATTTTCATTCCAAATATCCGACCAGTGTTGAGTAGCTCTTCCTTGCTATTTTCATTTATGATTCCAACTTTCTCAGCTTTTGAATTATTAAATGCACTATTACCAAGCGAGAAGTAAGAAGGACAATGACCAAATAAAGAATTAAGAAATATTCCAGATTTTGAATTGGAACTTAAATGTTTGACAAGAATATATGATCAATCCATCTGTGCGGCTTGACCCGGGATATTCGGGTTGGTTTAGATTTAACAAGGAAAAGACTATTAACAAATATGTAAATATAGTTTTCAAATAAGAAAAGTTGAATAACAATAGGATATCAGGGCGCTTCGCGTCCATTTTCTATTGCAACGTTTAAAATAAGCTTTATCTTTTTTTCTGTAATTCTGAGCATCCATAATCCTACCCTGAGGTCATATGAGGTTCCACACAAAATTTGGGCCTGATCGGTTCAGCCGTTTTTACGTTTATTGAATATAAACAGACAGACAGACAAGCAAAGTATATAATAGAATAATAACATGGGATCTAACAGAAAAAAGTTTTGCTTAGATATATAGGGTTACCCACAAAGGATGAGACTTCAATGACGACCTAAAACACTTTGAATAAACGATCTTAAGACTGAATAAATCTTCTGCCTCAAAAAAAAAAACAGTCTGATATGCCAGGAACCATGAATGAGTATAGGAAAAAAGACTGTATAAATTTCGGACAGTCGTCTTTGAAATCTCATCCTTTGAGGAAACTCTAAATAGAATATTATGTATCATATTTCTATATCAAAAATTAGAAATAAGTACAGGGTGGCCCAAAAAAACAAGTATTAGGGTTTTTCCGCCCTCTTAGTCTTTAAAAAAGACTTAATAATGTGCTCTATGTTATAGCCACAGTTGTCTTTGAAAAGTAAGACTAATACCAATCAACAGCGAATAGGCTGTTTAGTTTACCCTGAAATTACCCAAATAAGTGAACGGTCCCTTTAACCTATCCCCTTTCATTTTACCATAACAGTCCCTTTAAATTTATCTTCCAAATTCAAAGTTCTATGGGGTTCAATGTAGCATACTTCTCTCTCCAAATGAGATTCCTTCAAAGGAAGACGCCCCTTTAGTTTCATCTTCCATTCAGGATATTTGTAAAAACAAGGTTTGTTGTAATTTATTAATGTTTTTAATTAACGAAAATCTAGACAATTTCTTTTGTTCTAAAAAATTTCAAAAATAGACGTATCAGTTAACTTTGAAGTTGCATTAAAAACAGAAAACAATGATACGGAAATTCTGCATTATATCACTTTTCTGCTATTTTTCGATGCATTCGTAAAAAGTTGATATTTCATAATATTTTGTATTTTTCATGATCTGAGAGTTACTTTTGAAAACTTTTATTCCTGTTTCGAAGATTTTTGATAATGAAGACGATATTTTCATATTTTCCAGGAATGTTCGAAAATCCAGCGCCAGCGAAAATCATTTAAAAAAAACAAAATAAAAAATATATACGAATGCGTCGAAAAATAATCGATGACTACTGTTTGTAATATCTGAATGATTTGTTTGGAATTAAATTGATTATTTATGATCCGAGTTGAATGTTGCATCTTTCTGAATTTGTATGGACACTACGTTCTTCAGTATATGAGTCGTTTTTAACAATTTTCTCCTTATAGCCGCAACAGATAGCAGTAAGATTAGTAGCAATCAAAAGCGCTTTTTTATCGCATTAAGCCTATACCCCCTTTAATTTTTTGCGAACACTCCCTTTAATATACAAACATTCTACAGTGAGACCCACAAAACTGTGGAATTGGAAGACGACATATAAGTAGATAAATTGTTCCTGTTCCACATTTTTTGGGGTCTCACTGTGGCAAAGATGCAAGTTGAAATCAAACTATTCTGATTTTTCTTCAAATTAAAAATAAAAATACATAGAAATCTCAAAAACACAGGGTAACTCTAATGTCACAAGAATAAGACTTCAGAAAAAAAAAACTTTAATAGATTGAAAATCTTTTTGTTAAAATCTATCTATCTTAGTGGAAATTGAAAATTTATATACACTAGAACAAGGTTTACCACAAAGAATGAGGATAATAGTTTTTAGAAATTTGATCAGTCTTTTTGTTACATTCATGATTCCCTAGAAATGGAAACTTGTTTCTTTCTAGCAAAATCTTTTAGTATTTCACTTGCAGGCTTTAATTAAGGTAATATACCAACTTTCATCCTAAGTCTTTATTTATAATATTTTTAACCCTGTTCTGGGAACCTTAGCAATAATTTGCTCAAGAAAATCATTAATTTCTTGACGTTTTGTAGATGTATTAAAATGAGACCAGGTGCATAACATGTAAACATGTAAAACTGTTTTAAGAGATGGGTCTTAGAGAGTTCTGATCAATGGCAAGATTGAAATATTTTTAAACAGGGTTTCCAAAGAAAAGACAGTTGTTGAATAGTTTAAATGTCGTCTTCCATATACTTTTTGCAGTTTATTTTTTCATTATTTTTTTACTCAAATATATTTTACTTTTAAATCCATTTCACTATGATATGAGTACCTTTGTAATATTTTTCATCATTCTCTTTGGTATCAAACAAATTATTGAAGAAGACATTTCAAACTAATCACCAGCTGTTATGTTTCATGGGACACCCTGTTTATGTCGCAAATTCTCTTCATAGCTAATTACATAAATATGGGATAATCATTCTCTAGTGCTCTTCCAGAATCCTCTGATATGTTTACTGGCACATAATCCAGACTGGACAAACACCAGGCTCGAATATATTTAGAAGACGACATTCTATAAGTCAATTGAAGCCAAGAGGATATATATTTGCACAATTAAGATACATTAGTACACCTTGCAATACAAATTTGTGTCATTTTATAACTTAAATGTTTCCACAACTCGCATAGTTTAACTGTAATGCTTACCCCACCTCGCAGGAATAATTTTAAAAATATTTTAACTCGTCGTCTTCATATTTCTGATATTCTCTCAGCCTAGTGTTTGTTCTGTCTGGATGATGTGCTGGGCGAAAACTTTTCTTCCATAGTTTGGTTTTGATTTTCCTCATATATTTGGCTTGGCGCATTTTCCAGGAATTCGATTGGGTTTTCTTCAAATGCTTGGTTTGGTTTCTTTTCCAGGGTTTGATTTGAGGTTTCTTTAAATGTTTGTTTAGGTTTCCTTTATTGGAGTTATGTGATCGAGGACAGGGTTCAATATTTTTGACGCATTTCTTGAATATTTTCCAGACTGTAGGATCTGACATGCACGTGGTGCCACCACCCCTAGGCAGACATCTTAGATTAATGGCGGCCATATTGAAAGATTTAAAAGTTTAGAAGTTTGGAAAGAAGGAAATATGAGGAAGGATTAAAACAATTTGAATAGTTAAACGTACTCTCTCTCTTTTTCACTCAGTGTTCTTTGTTAAAACTTTAAATATTTTTGTATGAAATTAATTTAATTAAAAACTCCAAGCCTCAAATTTAATTAATATTTTAGTATACAAAAGAAACCCAACCCGAATTTAAATTAATTTTTAAAAGTTTTAAATCTTTATTAGAATAAACAAAATAGTTCAAACTTTCAAATGGAACTTAAATCTTATTTTTTAGACTTTAAAATTTTTTACAATTATCAATTTTATAAAATAAACTGTTCAGCAAATGAAATGTGGTGTTTTTTATTATGGTTTAGTGAGAAGCAAAAAATCACCTTTTTGTCTGTGTGTCCATTCTGTTAATATCTCCAACACACACATACGGCTTCTTAGAATCTTAAGAAATATCAAATATTTTCGCCATTTTTGTATTTTTGGTGATTAATAATTTAGTTTTTGTTTCTATATTTGGATTTAAAATTTGATCTTGTTCCATGACATATTTAAGATTCTTTGTGATACCAAATTAAACCATGATTGGTCTGGGTCATATAAGGATTTGAATAAACTTATTTTCATGGCAAGCAATACTTTTACAAGAGGAAAGGTTTTATCCACTTAACTACAGGGTGTCCTATGAAACATGACAGTTGGTGAATAGTTTTAAATGTCTTATTCCAAATCAAATATTATATATATTAAAGACTTTTTGCTAAAAAATCAATTACATTTTGCTTTGAAATCAACTTTATTATAATATTACCAAGCGATGTTTTTAATTATTCTCTTTGGTATAAATAGAACTTAACAAATAATATATATAATATATATATATATATAATAACACCAACTGTCATGTTTCCTGGGACACCATGTAACTTGTTTAAAAAAAGACTAAAAAGACTTGTTGCCCACACCGACTTACCAAGTCTTAAGAAACTAAGCTGAAAGACTTACCAAGACTTATTGCCCACTTTGCATGATCATGTTGGGTTGTAAAGTCTTCATCCTCAATCCCCGCGAAGTTGAGTTCTGCGACGTTCTCGACAATGAACTTGGTGTCACATCGGGACGGCATTCGTCCATGACCATTCGGCCAGGTTTCAACTAAATAATTAACTTGTTAAAGGAACTGTAGACGTAATTTCAAGTAAACCTTCATTTAATTATAGAGGGACATCAAATCGATCCAAAAGATTCAATTATCTTGTAAAATTCATGCCAATTTTGCATTTTCAATATTTAATTTTTAAACCGTATTAAATAATGCTAAAAAATAAAACAGTTTGACGTGCACTTTTTTTACTTAAATGGAGGGTGACCTGAAAGTTTTGAGAAATTCCCTTAAAATAGTATAAAAATAATCCTAATTTTTACAAATTCTAGAGTTTATAAAACATTTAGATATTTTAGTTTAGTTATAGCAAATTTTCAAAAATCAAAATTCAAATTTAATCAAATTTTGTTAATTTCAAAATTTATACTTTTAAAAGAGCTGCAAATGCATTTTAATTAGAAGGGACCACCCATCATTTAAAATAAGAAAAAACATTGTTTGGCAGACTTATAATCTAGCTCTGTTTAAACTGAAAAAAAATATAATTTTTCGTTAATAGTGAAAAGTTTCTTATATAAAATGGGCTTCGATTTGTTCAAAAGGGCATAAATTTAGTTAACAGTGCTCCAATTTATTTAACAGTGCTCCAATTTATTTAACAGTGCTCCAATTTATATAACAGTGCTCAAATTTATATAACAGTGCTCAAATTTATTCAATAATGATTAAGAAAAAAAGTGGTTCAAGCTGTGGTGTTCCAATAATGATAAAGAAAAAGAGTGGTTCAAGTACAGGGTGTCCAAATAATCACGGGAATTGATAGACGACTTGAAAGGATACATGCTTTAGTACATTTACCAACCATGTGTACATATATAGAATGTACATTTTACATACATGGTGCTCTTAACTAAATATTTAAATACGACTTTAAATATTGTCTTTTATACCTTGTACGTATAAAATTGATTTAGATTTCAAAGAATTAAATAAAATTGATTAATTAATTAGATTTTGAAAATCTTACTTATCGTTTATTATTAATAATTGTTGTTATTAGATATATTGAAATAATGAAGGAAGATTGGCAGGCCGAATTATTTGAATGATTATTTTTTGAGGGTTTAAGCTTTCTTTGGATGAGAATGGGGCAAGACGGTTTCAGGATTTAAGATAGTGGGTTGTCAAAATTCAGGGGGTACATTCCCATCCCCCCCATAATTTCACTCGGGGGTGGGTGGAGGTAATTGATTGCCATCCACCCCCCTCTGGGGGAGAGGGGTAAACCATTTTCTGATTATTTCTATTGTTAATCATGAACTTTCATGTGTTTTTTTTTTAATTTTGGCAATGATATATTTCACAATTAATATTTTCAACATTTTTCTTTTATGAAGTTTAAAAATTATAAAAGAGCGAATAATTTTTTTCCCCTGCAAGTGTCAGTGTAAGATTAGAAAATGCACTAAAAATGTAGTCAACTACTTAGTAATGGAGCTTGCTACCTTAGAATGGTGAACTAATGATGGAGCCCACTATCTAAATAATGGAGCCTGAAATCCTAATGATAAAGATCGAATGGAGTCGACGTATACCGTCCTTATTGTGGAATTGAGCCTAATTTCCCGACAAAATAGCTACTAACCTAATACTGGAGCCTACTCACCTAATCATGGAGCCTACGAACATAAAAATGGAGCTACTAACCTAATAATATAGCCTGCTAACCTAATAATCAGCCTACTAACCTAATAATGGAGCCTGGAGCACTGGAGCCACCAAGTCTGCGTATAAATCCTTTCCAAATTTTGAACTCTTAGCGAAGCTAGTGAGCTGTATACCAGCAGCTGTATTTAAAGACTCCATTTTGAAGAATGGAGCTTTCCTTAATAATAGTATAAAATAAGTTATTCATTGTTATACAGTATTATACGAACGGCATGGTAAAAAGTGTTGTACAGGGTTAACCACAAAGGATGAGACTTCATTCTTTCAATTCAATCAATAGAAATAAAATTTTTAGGTGATTATATTCAAAGAATTGTAAGCCGCCATTAAAGCTCATTTTTGTGGGTAACCCTGTATTTACAGTAGGGATTAATTTAGACATTCTCAGACAGAGATGTCATTTTGATCATAATACAGAATTAATCATTTATCTTTTTCTAATAATCTTGTTTAGCCTTTTACAGTTTAAGTCTTCATTTTTCTGAATTAAATTAAATTTTCGTGGATTTTATTGCTTAAATTTGTGCATTTTAAAAATGTTTTCAACCTAAAATTTTTGATTTTAAGAGTTCATAAACCTTCACTGGAGTCATTTTAGTTGTCAAACAAAGGAATTGAGTCTTTGCCACAAACTAAAATTTGCTGATCCCTATTTCTTTGATGCATGAACTGTGTTATAGACCTTTAAAATTTGATTTAACAGAATTCTTAGTTTGAAATATACAAGGTCTACGATATTCGGTTGCAAAGACAGAGATTAAAAATCAATAGTTTGCAGGAAAGACTCAATTGATTTGGGCCCAATCAGTTCAGCCGTTTTGAATTTTTGAGTTTAATCTCACCTAACATGGTTTCCCTGAGCCGCGGCAACAAGTGCCTTGTACTGTCCCGCCCAGTCTGGTAGGTGAACCCCGTACAGGTACGGCTGGTTGTACAGTAGTTGAGTGCCTTATGTACAAACGTTTGTAAACATTGAATTTTCATTTTTATTAAATTTTTTTTTTATAATTTTCTATTGTTATTACTCAATTCAGCATTCTTATGATTTATTATGAAATTAAAAGGTTCCGAAGACACATTTAATGTTCAAATCTAGTTATGTCGTACTTTTTAAATACCTACAGTTTAAATTTTAAAATTAATATATAAAATAATGTTTGTTTTTTTACATAAATGGAATAAAAATTATACCTATACTGTCCAAACTACTCGTGGGGATATTTAGACACATCAAGCTTTGTCCGTATCTGAAAATATTAATTTGAAATTAAAAATTTTGAATTCGATTTAAACTTTTAATTTTGAAATAATCTTAGGAAATGCCGCCATTGTGTGGATATCCATATGTTAGGTTTGGATAAGGTGGATAATGAGGAACTGAATGGATAAGCCAAATACCTATGCCCAGTGTGTGGATATCCATATGCTAGGTTTGGATAAGGTGGATAATGAGGAACTGAATGGATAAGCCAAATACCTGTGCCCAGTGTGTGGATATCCATATGTTAGGTTTGGATAAGGTGGATAATGAGGAACTGAATGGATAAGCCAAATAGAGTTGGTCTCATCTCCCAATATTAAACCCTGATAAAACAATCAGATGTCAGTTTAAAAGATTCTTATAATAGCTGAAGAACTGTTGATGATTTGTATGGTTTTAGTGATAAACTTAAAAATTATGGTACACAAAAATCTTTAATATGATAATGATAATGATAATAATAATAATAATGATAATGATAATGATAATGATAATAATAATGATGATAATAATGATAATAATAATAATAATAATAACGATAAGGAAAATGATAATAATAATAATAATGACAATAATAATAATATTACTATTTATAATAATATTGACAGTAAAAAACAATCTATTTACATATTTCAAAAACATTAATCTTTTGAAAACTGAAATATGATTTAAATAATAATAATAAAATTATTTCAAATTTCGTTAATGATATGAAGTTGTTGTTAAATGGTACCTTAGTGTGTCCTAGATCAAAGCTTGTAGGACCGTCTGGGTGTTCATCATTGTATAACAGGGTTAAAATATCCTGAACATAGTTCATCATTGTATAACAGGGTTAAAATATCCTGAACATAGTTCATGATTGTATAACAGGGTTAAAATATCCTAAACATAGTTCATTATTGTATAACAGGGTTAAAATATCCTGAACATAGTTCATCATTGTATACCAGGGTTAAAATATCCTGAACATAGTTCATCATTGTATGACAGGGTTAAAATATCCTAAACATATAGTTTATCATTGTATAACAAGGTTAAAATATCCTGAACATAGTTCATCATTGTATACCAGGGTTAAAATATCCTGGACATATAGTTCATCATTGTATAACAGGGTTAAAATATTCTGAACATAGTTCAGCATTGTATAACAGGGCTAAAATATCCTAAACATAGTTCATCATTGTATATCAGGGTTAAAATATCCTAAACATATAGTTCAGCATTGTATAGAAGGGTTAAAATATCCTAAACATATAGTTCATCATTGTATAACAGGGTTAAAATAACCTTAACATATAGTTCATCATTGCATACCAGGGTTAAAATATCCTGAACATAGTTCATCATTGTATAGAAGGGTTAAAATATCCTGAAAATAGTTCATCATTGTATAACAGGGTTAAAATATCCTGAACATAGTTTATCATTTTTTAACAGTTCATCATTGCATACCAGGGTTAAAATATCCTGAACATAGTTCATCATTGTATAGAAGGGTTAAAATATCCTGAACATAGTTCATCATTGTATAGAAGGGTTAAAATATCCTAAACATATAGTTCATCATTGTATAACAGGGTTAAAATAACCTTAACATATAGTTCATCATTGCATACCAGGGTTAAAATATCCTGAACATAGTTCATCATTGTATAGAAGGGTTAAAATATCCTAAATATAGTTCATCATTGTATAACAGGGTTAAAATATCCTAAACATAGTTCATCATTGTATAGAAGGATTAAAATATCCTGAACATAGTTCATCATTGTATAACAGGGTTAAAATATCCTAAACATAGTTCATTATTGTATAACAGGGTTAAAATATCCTAAACATAGTTCATCATTGTATAACAAGGTTAAAATATCCTGAACATATAGTTCATTATTGTATAACAGTGTTTAAAATATCCTGAACATAGTTCATTATTGTATAACAGTGTTAAAATATCCTGAACATATAGTTCATTATTGTATAACAGTGTTTAAAATATCCTGAACATAGTTCATCATTGTATACCAGGGTTATAATATCCTGAACATAGTTCATCATTGTATACCAGGGTTAAAATATCCTGAACATAGTTCATCATTGTATGACAGGGTTAAAATATCCTAAACATATAGTTTATCATTGTATAACAAGGTTAAAATATCCTGAACATAGTTCATCATTGTATAACAGGGTTAAAATATCCTGAACATAGTTCATTATTGTATAAAAGTGTTAAAATATCCTGAACATAGTTCATCATTGTAAAAAAGGGTTAAAATATCCTGAACATAGTTCATCATTGTATAACAAGGTTAAAATATCCTGAACATAGTTCATCATTGTATACCAGGGTTGAAATATCCTGAACATAGTTCATCATTGTATAGAAGGGTTAAAATATCCTGAACATAGTTCATCATTGTATACCAGGGTTAAAATATCCTGAACATAGTTCATTATTGTATACCAGGTGTTTAAAATATCCTGAACATAGTTCATTATTTTATAACAGTGTTAAAATATCCTGAACATAGTTCATTATTGTATAACAGTGTTAAAATATCCTAAATAACATTTAATAGAATAATAATCCACTATTCGATTAGAGACAGGTTATAAAAAGCTCATAAAAAAGTAACCACAGATCTTAAAAGGTGAAGTTTTTTAGATTAGTTTCGTCAATCTTTTTCCCTTTTGGTTGTACTGAGCTGAAAACTTTAGAATGGGATATTCTTAATCCCGATCGGTTAATTAATCTGGAGATTAATAACAAGAGGAGAACAAGCATTATTTAATCTGGAGGTTAAGAAGAATTGATCTCAATATCCACCAGTCTAGAGTTTTCAGCTTTGCACATACAAAGGATATGAATTAACTTTTTTAAGATCTGTGAACTGTGATTACTTTTTCATGAGATTTTTTTTCGTCTGTTTCTGGTCTAGGAAAAAAATAATCATGGTAATCAAGCAATTCTTTTTTGAAATTGTTTCTTCAAATTTCTTTTTTACATAATTTTCTCAAATTTATTTTAATTATTCTTATTTAAGATTAGTCTTAAAATTCTTTTGACACATTTTGAGTTTTAAAGATGGATTAAATTAATTATGTTAGAATATTTCGTAAAAAAATAAACATTAAAAACCTTAGATCCAGAGTAGAGTGGAGTAAGGCTTCGTCCAGGTAAAGATGTGCCGTCTTCAATAGAGTTTTCAGATAAAATCCAGTTCTAAAAATTATTAAATTAATGCAATGATAAATGCAAAATTAACTTCGGGTAATTTGGATTATTATCGACGCAAATTGAGACATATTTTGTACATATAAACATAGTTCGTTCAGATAAACATATTTTGTACATATAAAAAAAATTGTTTCTCCTAGATTTAAAAATTTTTTTTTTTTGAAATATCATTTTCTAGAATTTCCATTCTTTTTAAAAATATTCAAGTTTTGAATTTTGACAATCTAAAAGTTTGTTTGTTTGTTTAGTTCAGTTTCATATTTTCATTCTTATCAAACTTTTATTTAATAACTTTTCTGGCACAGGGTGTCCCAAAACAAAAGTTTTTAATAATTTATTCTTTATCTTCTCTTCTATCTGCTATTATATCACATAAACTTTACTAGAAGGGGATCACTCATTTGGTGTACTATCCAGGCTTGCCGTACATAGTCTTTAATTGTACTGTACAGGCTTGCCGTACATTGTCTTTAATTGTACTGTCCAGGCTTGCCTTACATTGTCTTTAATTGTACTGTACAGCTTGCTCTAACTGGGAAAAGGCCGACCCAGGACTTGAAATGAACTGGAGTTTACAGTGCTATGAAGGTTTAACTGCTCAAAGATGTCACAGGGTGTCAAACAAGAAACTAATTTTTCGTTAGTTTCTTTTTTATTTGCTGTCAATGTGTCATATAGAGTGTCAAACAAATTTCGCTAACTGCTGAGATTTTTTACAACTTTGACCACCTGCTTGTGGAAAACATATTAAATACTTACATGCACCAAAACGACAAGAATTAGGATAATGTAAACAACGAGCGATTTGCAGCATCGAAGTGTTCATTTCAAGAATTACAAGTTATGAGTGTGCTGGATTGTCGAAACTAAAAGTCAAAACGCTTCAAAGTTGTTCTGGTCTTAATAGTTAATCCATAATTGTCATGCATGTGCAAATCGATTTTCACCTTTTCTTCCTGTGTTGAGAGAATATATGTATAAGCAGTTCCATTGTTTATAAACTCATTCTTTCTCCCAGATTTTCTCTGCTTAATACTGGGCCTAAAATATACCATCTAATCAAAAATTAATGATTTTAGATTTTCAATGATTTATTAATTTTATTCTTTTAAAACATATCTAAGGAACTGTAGAGGTTATTTTTAATAATATTCTTTTTTATAAAGGCATGCCAGATTCAGAACATGCCAGATTCAGAACATGCCCGATTCAGAACATGCCCGATTCAGAACATGCCCGATTCAGAACATGCCAGATTCAGAACATGCCAGATTCATAATATGCCCGATTCAGAACATGCCCGATTCAGAACATGCCTGATTCATAACATACCCAATTCATAACATGCCCGATTCAGAACATGCCCTATTTAGAAATCCACCCTAACAAAGCTTGTACGACAAAGACTGTAAAAGATATCCATGGTTCTAAGTTTTAGACTATAAAAACAAAAATATCTTCCACATTATTTTGCAGAGATATAGGTTTAGCAGGTATTGTTGTGAGCTTGGCAATTACTGGAAATCTCAATGTACGTATCTCAATGAATGTTTAAAAATGAAAAAGAAAAAGTTGAAATAAATCTTTAAAATTGAAATTAGATTTATTTTGTTAAAAATTTACTGACTGTGGTAGTTTATAAGCAATCCACCAATCCACAGGGTTTCCTTTCTCATCCTGACAACTTACTCCGCTGTCAACCTTCCGCCTTTCGTTCATCACTCCGCCGCCATTCTTCAGTAAGATCTTTGCTCCGCCTTCCTCTGTGTAAACCTTTTGGTTCAACTCCTGGTTCAGCTCCTGATTTAGCTCCTGGTTCAGCTCCTGATTCAGCTCCTGGTGCTGCTCCTGGTTTATATCCTGGTTCAGCTCCTGGTTCAGCTCCTGGTTCAGCTTCTGGTTCAGCTTCTGGTTCAGCTCCTGGTTCAGCTCCTGGTTCAGCTCCTGGTTCAGCTCCTGGTTCAGCTCCTGGTTCAGCTCCTGGTGCTGCTCCTGTTCCCGCTCCTGGTTCAGCTCCTGGTTAGACTCCTGGTTAGCCTGGAACCTGGAGAGGGTTTGATGAGGGACAAGCTGGAGAAGGATGAGTAGAATACAACCTGTGGTTCAGATAATCAACTTTAACCCCAAAAATTGTCTTTATTTAATCCGAAATCTGGAAAACGAATATGAAGTAACACAACTCTTTGTTTAAAAATGTCTAGAAAAACTTTTTAATCATTTTAACTAGGTATATTCCTAGAGAACAATTTTTGGACCCCCCCAGCCCCAGCCCCCCCCTTTCTGTCAATTTTGTACATGGATCTTACAGAAAATGTCTTAACTTGACCTAACCCGTGGCCGAAGACCCTTTTAACTATTTATGCGCCTACAAATGCTTTCTTAAAAAAAAGTTAATCTAATTGAGCTCTTTTCTAAACATTTCTGTTCTTTATATTTGTTCTTCTTGAATTTTTGGTTCAAACATCTAAAACTTTGTTTTGATATATCCTCATCAATTTCGATGTTAGACGGCTTAAAATGGGTTTAGAATTGTTGTTTACAGGTTATATTTCTCTGATTATCTTCCTGTTAGATTCATAGTGCTGTTTCTGGTACCCGGAGTAAATATTGTCCGTCCTACCGGCTGTAAACAAGTACCCGGAGTCAATACTTTGTCTTACACCCGGAGTAAGTATTGTTTCACGTCTTAACCATCAGCTGATCAATTCCCTACTAGTACTAGTAGTTTAGTTACTACTACAGCAGAAAACTTCTAGTCCTGGGTTGCACCCCCCCCCCATTTAAAGTTTTGTTAAAAATAACAAGAGGAAATATTTGTGAAAAATGAGTTTTCATTGAAATATTAAAAGATTAGCATGATTTCCTTTGTTGCCCTGAATTCACAAATAACTGTTAAACCGCTACATTTTATACAATTTAAATATCTTGATAAAAAGACAAACAATCTAAGGCATGTTGCATCAATGATATTTGCATGTTATTGATAACAGTGGCGCTTCCTAACTCTAATATTGATAATATAATGATAATAAGAATATATGATACAGAAACAGAAACAGAAACAGAAACAGAAACAGAAAAGATACAGAATCAAGACTATAAATGGAATCAAAACAAAAAACAGAAACAAGATACAGAAACAAGATCTACATGGAAACAGAAAAAGTCACAGAAAAAGGAATAGAAACAGAAATAAGATACTGAATGAGAATAAGATAAAGAAACAGAAATAAGATACTGAATGAGAATAAAAATGAGAAACAGAAATAATATACTGGAAGAGAATAAGGAAGAGAAACAGAAATAAGATACTGAATGAGAATAAGATAAAGAAACAGAAATAAGATACTGAATGAGAATAAAAATGAGAAAAAGAAATAAAATACTGAAAGAGAATAAGAAAAAGAAACAGAAATAAGATACTGAAAGAGAATAAGAAAAAGAAACAGAAATGAAATACTGAATGAGAATAAGAAAGAGAAACAGAAATAAGATACTGAATGAGAATAAGAAAGAAAAAGAGAACTAAGATACTGAAAGAGAATAAGAAAGAGAAACAGAAAGAAAATACTGAATGAGAATAAGAAAGAAAAACAGAAATAAGATACTGAAAGAGAATAAGAAAGAGAAACAGAAATAAGATACTGGAAGAGAATAAGAAAGAGAAACAGAAATAAGATACTGAAAGAGAATAAGAAAGAGAAACAGAAATAAGATACTGAAAGAGAATAAGAAAAAGAAACAGAAATAACATACTGAAAGAGAATAAAAAAGAGAAACAGAAATAAGATACTGAAAGAGAATAAGAAAGAGAAACAGAAATAACATACTGAAAGAGAATAAAAAAGAGAAACAGAAATAACATACTGAAAGAGAATAAGAAAGAGAAACAGAAATAAAATACTGAAAGAGAATAAGAAAGATAAACAGAAATAAAATACTGAAAGAGAATAAGAAAGAGAAAGAGAAATAAAATACTGAAAGAGAATAAGAAAGAGAAAGAGAAATAAAATACTGAAGGAGAATAAGAAAGAGAAACAGAAATAACATACTGAAAGAGAATAAGAAAGAGAAAAAGAAATAACATACTGAAAGAGATTAGAAAGAGAAAGAGAAATAAAATACTGAAAGAGAATAAGAAAGAGAAACAGAAATAAAATGCTGAAAGAGAATAAGAAAGATAAACAGAAATAAGATACTGAATGAGAATAAAAATGAGAAACAGAAATAAAATACTGAAAGAGAATAAGAAAGCGAAACAGAAATATAAAGATACTGAAAGAGAATAAGAAAGAGAAAGAGAAATAAGATACTGAAAGAGAATAAGAAAGAGAAATAAAATACTGAAAGAGAATATATATTCTGATTCAATAATGTATATTCGTGTGTAACGGTGACCTCGGTTAATGGAAATTTTGACCCAATATAATAATAATATAATAATATAATAATATAATAATATAATAATATAATNAAATTACGAGGGAGGGGATGTGAAGGGTGAGACACTGCACTAGTAAATTACGAAACATAGGAAATGATTATACAGTTTTATAAAATTTATTTTATCGCCTGGAAAAAATGTCGAAGAAAATATAACATTTTAGAATTGTTCTATATCCAATAAAAACAATGTAAATTAAGTTCTATTGATATATTTTCCATAGGGAAGGATGGGGATGGGGGGGGAATCTTTGTCTCCGATCCAATAGGGGTTAAACTGGTTGTAGTATTGTGACACAGGAGGATATCCTGTTCAACCTTGAGAACAATCCAACCTGAAACTAAACTCAGATAAAAAATAATTTAGTCTAATCTCATAAAATAAATCTATTATAATTCTTGAGAATAATATTTCAGTACATATATAGATTGAATATAAATCAACAGCTCTCTATATATATAGATTAGATATAAATCAATATTCTATTTTTTTTGTTAAAAATCTGCGAAAATCATCTATTTTGTTTTGTGCGTCCAAAAAGTTCTCATTGATCGTAAATTCTAGTGCGTCCTCTTTATAGTAACTAATTTATGTTTTGAATAAAGCTATATTTTCGCTCATATCCTTCCAACGGTGTTGTATTGTTCAGAATGCATGTATCAATCCAGATACAATACTCTCTGTATTTTCTAGTCTATATATATACCGATACCGATACAACTCAGGTCTGTCTCGTTCGCTACATGAGGATGGATTACTCTAATACCGTAATGAAGCAGAGTCTAATTCGAACTAAAGTATATTTGAGTTTTATGGTACAGGTTAAGTAAATAACCTTATTTAAGTTAAGTTTTAATACAATGAACGTAATTAATGATAAGGACCGATAGGTTTAACAAGCGTAGTTAGGTTACAGATAATATACAACATAATATATTCAGGTTTACAAATTTAGGGTTTACTACGCTATTTATTACAAAATAAAACAATTTGCGGATTTTTCTGTTGGCGATAAAAGTCGCTTTCTATCACAAATCTATTTCAAGCAATGACTTTTGGACCAAGGAAATACAAAAACATTTTTGCAAGATTATCCTTTTGACCTGAAAAGCTCAATTCTTGAAAATTCACTGTGTAAGGAATTAGCTATTTGTATTAGGAATTTCCACAATGTATATTGGTCAACAAATGGTAATTTCCTTGATTTAAGAATATATGACAATGATTTGCTGCGTTTAGAGAGAAAAGTTAAATATGAACCACTTCAGAGGAAACCTCACACCTCATAATCTATCGGTTAGGAAATTATGATTTATCAACCTTGTTGATATTAATGACAGTAATATTTTTCGGAGGCAACTTTAGCAATTACCTAGGGTTTCAACTTAATGCCCCCAAAATATTCAATCTGAGATAGGTCCATCATAGAATGTGTAGAAAGATGGTAGAGAATAAGGATAAAGTATGTACACTGTTCATGACGTTTTTTAGAAAATTTATTAAAGGCAGTTTTCGGAAAGGAAAGTTTAAAATAGCGGAGAAATTGAGGCTGTGTGGGAAACTGTAGAACAAGATCTTAAAGAACAAGATCTTGAAGAACAAGATCTTAAAGAACAAGATCTTAAAGAACAAGATTATAAAGAACAAGATCTTAAAGAACAAGATCAGAACAAGATCTTAAAGAACAAGATTAAAGAACAAGATCTTAAAGAACAAGATCTTAAAGAACAAGATCTTAAAGAACAAGATCTTAAAGAACAAGATTATAAAGAACAAGATCTTAAAGAACAAGATCAGAACAAGATCTTAAAGAACAAGATCTTAAAGAACAAGATCTTAAAGAACAAGATCTTAAAGAACAAGATCTTAAAGAATAAGATCTTAAAGAAGATCTTAAAGAACAAGATCAGAACAAGATCTTAAACAGCAAGATCTTAAATAAAAAGATCTTATAGAACAAGATCTGAAAGAACAAGATCTGAAAGAACAAGATCTTAAAGAACAAGATCTTAAAGAACAAGGCCTTGGCAAACGATAACTCTTTAGACTCGGAGAGAGATTGCAACTTTAATAAAACATTCAAAAATACAAAACTCAAATTAACCTACGGTGCTTTATTTTTAACTTCACGTCACAATCTGTATAACACAACGCTATAATTGCTCGTTTCGTTCAAAACTATGACTCAACCTGACAATGTTGCAAACTGGGCAATCTAACGCCAGCACCCAGAGAATCGATCTCTAACCTCTTTTGGGATTGTTCTAAAATACATGAGATCCTAACTGATTTAAACATCATAATATCTAACTGCGTCTTACCTCATGATGAACTAAGAAAATTATATTTTTGGGTTGTAACAAAACAATGATCTTTAATGTGGAAACCACAAATATTATTTGTCTTACTGTACTTTATATTATATTCACCACAAGAGATGGTAAATACAGACAAATTGAAAAATTCCTTATTTTATCATATCATTTGTTTCTTTTTGTTACTGGATCAAATTAAAATAACCCGTTGTTACGCGACAAATGTCGGAATTTTTAGTCCAGTAAATAATGAATCTTGATATTTCTTTTATTCTATGATTAAATGTGTTTATATTATTCGATATATTCTTCATTATGTTGTAAACATTTTGTTGTTTTGAATAAAATAATTTCGGTCAACCTTTTTCGATTGAACGGTGTACCCTACATCCAGAGCACAGAAATACTTGAGATGAAGATCTGAAAGAGTAGATTCCAGTCGAGAGTTTATGAGGCTTGTAGGAATTTCTGATCAACTTAAGCAGATCATGACTATAAGTGTGATTAGGGATGTTAACGTTTTCCTTTTTCAGAAAAACGATCGTTTCGTTATGAAAACGACGAAGAAAAATCGAAAACGAAACGATCGTTTTTAAAAACGATTGTTTTTTTAAAAAGTTTGTTTTTTAAAAATGGTCGTTTCTAAAACGTTCGTTTTTCAAAACGACGACCCTTCGTTAACGATTGTTAACGACGAAGCTTCGTTAACGACGAACCTTCGTTAACGAAGAGAGGAAACCGACCTGAAGGGCATCTGTTCTTATCATTGAGTAGTTTTTAAGAAAATATCAAGGAGTTTTAACTCCCCCACAACTGTTAAACTTCATGTAAGACGACATTCATTAAAGTTGCATGTAATTTTTTTCCAAAAACGACCGTTTTCATAAAGTTACAGTGTGATGTCTCAAGGAGTATCATAGATATTTTAAGCCCATAGTATGGTGGCTTAACACCTGTCAAAAAATGTAGACAAAATCGTATAGAATTCTCAAACCATTCTATAATTTATTTTCTTTTTTTCCATGTACTATGTACTATGTACAATTTATGATAACTATTTTTGAAAAATCTCAAAGATTACAATCACGAGTAAATAAATCTTTAGAGTTATTCCTTTCAATTTAAAAAGAAAATTCTTAAGATCAAAAGTTTTCAAATCAAATCTGAGAAATGTTCCCATATAGCTGTATTTTCTAAATTGAATTGAAATTATGTTTTCTAAAAACCAATCTGAAAACATGTAACGCCGTAACATATGTAAAAACATGTAATATCTGTAATCATATGTAATTACACATAAAAACTATGTTAGCATAATTTACATTTACAGGGAAAATTTTCCAATTTCTTCAACAGACTTTAAACCTTCCCGGAGACAACCAGAGTTGGGATGATACCACAAAATAATTGTGCCCAATCATTTTGACATTATAATATATATTAGAAAGTGGCACAAATAACATAAGAATTCTACTTTTTCTAAAATATTTTTGTTCTTTCTTATCATTTAGTTTTTAAAAGTCAAAAAATGTTTAAATTTTTGTGGAGATAAGTTTGAGTGGTTGGCTCAGAATTTTTTAATTGTACATTTAAAAAAAATATTTATCATCTTTTAAATTTAAGAAAATTTGAAGTTCTGTGAAAATCTTTCTGGTTGAATAAATTTTAAAAAAGAAGATAATTAGAATATTAAAGCAGAAACATCAAATGGATGAACTACGGAGTCTGTCCTAGAAAACTATTTTTGTATGGAAAGGATGGATGGAGAAGGAGTAAGAGAATGAAAGATGACGACAGACGAATATCGTTGCGCATGACTATATTTTCCCACCACAGATAGATGACAAATCGGTATAGAAACGCAGGAGCAGAGTAGCCTAGTAGCTGAACTACAATGTTTAAAGTTTACAGTAGTAGTACAGTTCAATTTTAGTTCCCACACAGTTCGGACGTTACAACCCAGCGCTCTGATCAATGATTTCAACAGAAAACGTGATTAGTCTTAAACATACTTGTACACTACTAACATGATTACTTTGAGAAGCTCTGTTTTCAACATTTTGTGAATAAATTAAATAAAAATGAGTTTGCAGTGTGTAAGAAGCTCTAGATCACAATCCAGCGATGGGGGTGTGTCCCCCTATCAGTCCCCGCTCCCCTACGGTCTAGGATCTGATGGAGAGGGGGTCAGCTCCCCCCTCCTCTACTCCGGGAGTTCTGGTTCTGGTTTAAACTACTCCGTGTCCCCTGTACAGTACACAGGGTCGGATCAAGATGACTCCGCTTATCACGAACCACTGTACTACTCAGAGTCATCTCCCGGAGCTCAAGATTTCGGAGTTTATCACGTCAACTCATCAGAATATAAATACCAGGTATTTATCTACGAAATCTGACTCGTCTTTCGGTTACGCAGCACTTATTTCGGTGCTAAATAATGTTGAATTTTCCGGGTATTAACCATTTACATTTTTCAATTCAAGTTAAAGGGGTTTAAAGATGATAAGAAGTACACACTGTTTTATGAAAATGTGCAAAGCATTCAATTCAATTCTCGGAAATAATTTGAACAAAGATTCAAACACACTTTTCCATTTATAAATATACAAGGGGGTTGAACCCCCCCCCCCCCTGGAAACTATTAATGCCCAAGTAACCTGCTTGCTCTCCCCTTCTTTAATTCAAACGTGAAAGAGAGGCTCCATTTGTATTTTCTGCAAGCTTTCAAAGAAAATAAAAAGTGAAAAAAGTTAAAATTCAATAATTGTGTAATCAGAAATATTATTCGATTCATTCTAAGAATTTGATGAGGATTACATTTTTTAATTACTCTCAATTAGTTCATACAATTGAATTATTCTCATCCGAAATTGAATACTAAATGGACAGCGGGGGTGGGGTGGGTGGGTAAAACTGTTTTCTGATCAAGACTCGTTGTTAAAATCTTATCCCTTTTAATGTCACCCTGTGTTTCATAAATGAATTAATGAATTATTCAATTTAGACCTATTTCGTTAATCTGACCATCTTAATCTGTATCACAAATATAATACTGAGGAAGGATTAAGTTTGTATCCCCCCTCCCTTGAATCAGGGTTAATAGGGATGAATTAATAAAACCCAACCTATATCCCTCCTATACCCCCCCCCCACCCCGTATTAACGGGCGGGGCCCACAATAACGATCTAATTATGAAAATTGTATTTATATTACTTCTTACAAGGTTTATGTTTAATTTAAACACTAGTTTTAATGTGTAATTGTTGTATTGTTTTGGTTGCAAAGAATTGAGAATAATAATAGAATTAAACATCTAATAATTTTATGGTTCAACGGATTTATCCTATAGGGCTTGTTTGTTTATATTTTAAAGCATAAACAAATATTAAAATAGATATATTTTTCCAACTTTTGAACACAATTATACCACTTTTAACTCCCTGATACTTACATTGCAACCCTGTAGATGCAATCTAATTGATTGCTAATTTTTATGCCAAAAAGTTGCGGATTTACAACTCCAAAAACATGTGTTCCAAAACGAAATAGATTTTACAGTTTTTAAAACTTTAAGAAGGTTGATTTTTATGTAAATTATAATGTTATGTTTAGTTTAGAAGTGGGAAAGTTTACGTGGATTTAACGGTTCTGTCAATATTTCAGAAAGCTGTGACCTTCGATCACAATTTGACCTCTTATACATAACTTTTTAGGCTTTTTTCTTCATACTTTTTTTTGTCGGTATATACGTTTTGAATAAAAAAGTATAAAATAAACGAATCCGTAAGTTTAAAGGTTGTTGAATTATAGACCAAAATACGTTTGATTTCAAATAAAGAAACAGAATGCTTCTCACTCTGGTTAGTCCGGGGTGCTAGTTAAGTAGCTTAATTTAATAGCTGACAATTTTTAAACTAAAAAAAAAATATAAAATTATTTTTTTTATTTAACACTTCTTACTAACTGTAATAATCAACGCAATATTTTGCAGTAATTATTCATTAGGAGAGTTATTATATATCTTTTTGGTTTGAGGTTTAATAATCCAAACTATACAAGTTTAAACATTAATTTTAAACGGGTTTTATGTAAGTATTATTAAAGTTTATTTTTAAATAATTTGGTATAGCTCTATGCACTGGTTTACCCCAACCTATGACTCAACACAACCTAAATTTGGAAGGAATTGTTAATAAAATTTTAAAGATTTTTTTTTTGTTATTTATGAGCTACCACGCCTATATATATGTACAGGGGCGTTTACAGAAATTTGTCCCAGGGGGGGGGGTCTTTCACAATTGTTAACTTTCCAGTTGGGAGCTCAGCCCCGGTTGGAGAACNGTTCTTACCGACTTCTCATGTTGTGCGTATATGGATTGTTTTTGCACATATCGTGAAATCATCTCAAGGACGCATATTACGCAAATCTACGCAATCACATACTCACTAATTGATGTACGCATTTCTACTGCGCAGACGGATATTCCTTGCGAAATTTCTCCGAATATATTACCGGTAAAATGAAGGGGGGAGGGGGGCAAAGGGGCACTGCCCCCACCCTACACTTGGGAAAATGAACCGTAGTCCCCCATTGACGTTTTAACCATTTTTAAGCTAATAACATAGAAATAAAGAAGGTTTAAAATCGGAAATGGAATAAGTACATTAATTTGTTTTAAAGTGCACTTTACCACTGTCTACATTTTATTCTCTTTGCACTATTATTGTTCAAACTTTATGTATCTAAAAAATAGAAATCAAAATAATAAAATCAATTAATGCCCCAACTTTCATCACCGAACTATGTCCAGTTTTAGAAACACAATTTCTGTTATTTTTAAAATCGAAATTTTCGCAATCAAATTCTGCATTTCTTGCATTCAGGGTTCCTTGTAGAACAAAAATGGTTTATTTTTGTGCTTTATCATTTAGTAAACCATCAAAATACTCAATTTAATGCAGAAATGAAAGTTCAAGCTTAAAATCGTCATATTTTTAGAGTTTTGGGTCGTCTTTATAGTCTTATCTTTTGTGGGTACCTCTGTATGTTACAACGAACCAAATATATGTCGAGCTCAAAGATATAATTTAACTTTTGTAAAGTGAAAGGAAGCTTTTTTCATTTCTATGTAGACATATCCATTTTCAATGTTGAATTATCAATGAGAAAATATTATAAATCATGCAACAGAAGTTTTATACAGGGATTATAATTTTTGAAAAATAACCTACCTATCTCCCCCTTCATACACAAATAAAAAATTAACACATTATTGCTTATGGTATCGTATGGGGGTTGGGGGAGGTATCGAATATCCATCCCTATTTTTTTTTACTCTACAAAAAAGATCTAATAGAACTATATTAAAAAAAACAGAAGAAAAAACAATTAATAGAAAATGAATGAAAATGTAATGTTCAGAACATACCTGTTTATTTCTGAACAATTTTAACTATAATTAAACGAACTTTAGCGTACATTTCAATTTAAAAAAGAATAATTGCTTAATAAAAAACAATGAAATGATTTAAAGTTAAAATTATGTCATAATTCCCTTTTTTTCAGTGCTCCGAGCTGGTCAGATCCGAGGATGTTGAGCTTGACCTCAAGTTGTCCTCATCAAAAAAAGAGGTTTTATCTCTTATACAAAAACTTAAAACTTATTTTCTGTCAATGTTTTATTTTGTTCACGGATTCAAAAGTAATAAAAAAATAATGTTAAATGATTGAATAAACGGTAAAATGCGGAAATATAAAGATAATGATAATGATAACAATAATAATAATGATAATGATAATGATAACAATAATAATAATGATAATGATAATAATAATAAAAATAATAATAATAATAGTAATAATAATGATAATATACCTGACTTGTGAATACTTAAGTTCACAAACCCGCTCAAATAGTAAAAGCTTTAACGCTTAGCCATAGAAGAATACCAAAGGGAAGAAATGTGCACTTAACAATATTAATATCTAAATAACATAAAAACTCTAATAATGTAACACTGAATACAGTAATAATAATGATACTGGCTAGGTTGCTTGTGTCCAGGCTGGATCTGGTTGTAGCTGGGTAGGTCAGCTAGGCAGGCTACAGGTATTACACACAGAGCAGCACAGTGCACATTATATGCCGCATGTTTAAACAAATCAAATCATGTTCTGACCTAATATCATTCAATATCATAAATGCTTGATATTTTTTTCCAAGGAAAACATAACTTTAAAAGTCAATTTTATAATGATAACGTTGATCGAGACAGAGAGAAACATGAAGCATATTAAAGGGACTGTTCAGGAAAAATTTAAGGGGGTAAAACCTAAAACCTAAAAGGAGTTGTTCGCGACCTTGATGAGTTCTATTTGATGTCCCTGTCTTGAGAAATTGATATAAAACTGTTTTCTCGAGACAGGCATATCAGACAGAACTCATGAAGGTGGTGATCAACTCCTGTTTCAGCCTTTACCACCTTTTAATTTTCCAGAACAGTCCCTTTAATGTAATTTAACATTGCTATCACATTTATAATTTCAAGTTTCACACATTGTACTGAACAGGAGTAGAGGGTGTTTGTGCGACTTTAGTTGAACAACTTTGTGATATTATAGTCCACGCACAAGGGCAAATTTATTCGATTACATAACAGAAATTTTGTTTAATTTATTGCTCTTGAATAAAAGGATTATGAATTACTTTAATTAGACTTGGTTTAGAATGATTATAAACTTTTTGACAATTTTTATTTTTCATTTGACTTGACTCTAAACGTTAAATAAATATAATTAAGTCCATAGAACTTGCCACACTGACACAAATCATGCTTTTAGAGAGTCTTGTACCATGTTAGAAATATACGTTAAATTTAGTCTCAAAGCACTACCCAGTTCCCATGGAGAAAAGATGACAGAATTAATCTTATTATTTCCAGCCACAACACATCCACGTTCATTTAGAACTAATTTCCTAATGATAGTGCAAAGATGATAAAACGTAGCTACAGCTAATAATATAAATAATACCGCGTAATTTGTATTAAAAATCTTTCTAGGCAACGCATTTTAAGATTGCACTCCCAATTTCAGGGGCGTAGTTAGGAATTTGTCCAGGGGGAGCTTTTTCTTTCCAGGGGGGGGGGGCTCAGCACTAGTTGGGGCCTGAAAACCCCAGGAAATTAATCGATTTCACTGATCCAGGGGGTGTTGGCTTAGCCCCCATAGCCCCCTTCTAAATACGCCTCTGCCCAAGTTACATATTTGATTCACAAAAGTACCTATTACATCTTTTTTCTGACAATTTCATTCTTTCTCTCTGTCGTAAACACTCCTAACTTTCTCTTATCAAAAAATCATTTCATAATCTAGTATATAATACCTTTGAGAGTTATGTAAAAATGTAAATTTAATTTGTTTAGACTCACTTGGCAACATGTTCCAAAGATTCAGTGCAATGCCAACTCAACTGCGGTGCAAAGGTAATTTTTTCCTTGCCATACCATACCCTACTGTGTTATATCGTTCCTTGCCATGCCATACCCTACTGTGTTATATCATTCCTTGCCATGCCATACCCTACTGTGTTATATCATTCCTTGCTATGCCATACCCTACTGTGTTCTATCATTCCTTGCCTTGCCATACCCTACTGTGTTATATCATTCCTTGCCATGCCACACCCTACTGTGTTATATCGTTCTTTGCCTTGCCATACCCTACTATGTTATATCGTTCCTTGCCATGCCATACCCTACTGTGTTATATCATTCCTTGCCTTGCCATACCCTACTGTGTTATATCATTCCTTGCCATGCCATACCCTACTGTGTTATATCGTTAATTGCCTTGCCATACCCTACTGTGTTATATCGTTCGTTGCAATGCCATACCCTACTGTGTTATATCATTCCTTGCCATGCCATACCCTACTGTGTTATATCATTCCCTGCCATGCCATAGCCTACTGTGTTATATCATTCCTTGCCATACCCTACTGTGTTATATCATTCCTTGCCATACCCTACTGTGTTATATCATCCATACCCTACTGTGTTATATCGTTCCTTGCCTTGCCATACCCTACTGTGTTATATCATTCCTTGCCAATACCCTACTGTATTATATCATTCCTTGCCATGCCATACCCTACTGTCTTATATCATTCCTTGCCATGCCATACCCTACTGTATTATATCATTCCTTGCCATGCCATACCCTACTGTGTTCTATCATTCCTTGCCATGCCATACCCTACTGTGTTATATCATGCCTTGCCATGCCATACCCTACTGTATTAAATCGTTCCTTGCCATGCTATACCCTACTGTGTTATATCATTCCTTGCCATACCATACCCAACTGTGTTAAATCGTTCCTTGCCATGCCATACCCTACTGTGTTATATCATTCCTTGCCATGCCATACCCTACTGTGTTATATCATTCCTTGCCATACCCTACTGTGTTATATCATTCCTTGCCATACCCTACTGTGTTATATCATCCATACCCTACTGTGTTATATCGTTCCCTGCCATGCCATACCCTACTGTGTTATATCATTCCTTGCCATGCCATACCCTACTGTATTATATCATTCCTTGCCATGCCATACCCTACTGTGTTATATCATTCCTTGCCATGCCATACCCTACTGTGTTCTATCGTTCCTTGCCATGCCATATCCTACTGTGTTATAGCGTTCCTTTTACGGAGCACTCTTTAATGTACAGGGTGTCCCACGAAACATGTCAGTTGGTGAATAGTTTTTTAATGTCTTTTTCCATGATACTGTATTAGTTATGTAAGACTTTTTGCAGTTTATTTCGTTAACCAAATCTTTTACTCAAATATATATTTGTTTAAAATCAATTTTACTATGATATCAGTTTTACTGCCATTTAGTATTTCTTATCATAATCTTTGGTCTCAAACAAATAAATAAATTATGGAAGAAGACATTTTAAACTATTCACTAACTGTCATGTTTCGTGGGACACCCTGTACTCCACTCGACTAAACTATAAAGTTACTTTTTTGGTGCAATGTCTGTTTCACAATTAGGGATGGATCGTTTCCACTTTTTTTGAAAAACTTTCGTTTCGTTTTTAAAACGCCAAAGAAAAAATTAAAAAGATCGTTTTCAAAAAAGTTTTTTTTTTCGATCGTTTTTATAACAATTAACAACCCTATTCACAGTAATTTCAAGGTATTTTTTAATCCAATACCAACCACATGTAGATTTTTTTATTATGTAAACACAATCCCGGCATAACTCTGGCGTAACTGTCAGACAAAATTGGTATAAAAAGTTATAATTTTTGTTTTTAAAATCTTTTTTTATAAATAAATAAGATTCTAAACCTAGATTAATAACAGTTAATTTTACCTAGTGATGCTTACATTGTGTATTTTCTATTCCTTGTTTGTATAAATTAGGATTAATTTAAATTCAATCCAATGTAATCCCTACTATACTCCCACAATCCTTTGGAAAACTAGAGATGGGCAAATAGATTCTAGTACAATAGATGGAAACCTAGAATTTGCACACTCTCAGTATAGCTGTATGCTGACGTCACAAGTGTAAATTCAGCTTTTGTGTTCGAAAAGATTATCAATAATAGTGATGATTTTAGAATAAAGTGCTTGTCTTACAATAAAATAAGTGCAATCGTGTGTGTTCTTTATTTGCTGTCATTACAATTTTTTATCTAATCTTTGAAAGCATATCAACTAATATGAGAAAATTTCGTTTTCTTGGTTAAATTTGACACTTGTGACGTCATGTATAATTGGTCCATTTCTCTAGTGCTTCCTATTGTACTTGATAATCTATTTGGTTTAGGTTAGTTGTTTAACATCAAGATTTTTTAAAGTTTTATGATAACCATGATTGAAAATTAAAATTGCTGTAATCTAATATTTACTAGATCATACAAAGCTTTTATGGGTACCAATGTGAGAGAATAAATAGTCTTTATCACAAACTATGATTTTAAAATCTCTAGATCTTTGCAACCCAATTCCGTAGACCTTAGATATTTTAAACTATGAATTATGTTAGATGAAAGAATCTTAGTTTGAAGTATCAAAGGTTTACACCATCAGGTGGAAAAAAAATATAGTTAGAAAATCAGAGTTTTTTACAAAGACTCAATTCCTTTAGAAAAAGACCTTTTTTATACCTCTTTAAAAATAGCCTTACATTTGTTGAAGGACTAAACTAAAAATGATAGCCATTCCTAACTATAATCTCTGATATACTCTTCCAATACTCATCCTTCAACCTAGGATTTACAGACTCAAGTTTTGCAAAAATCAAAGAAAATAACATTTTCAAGATTTGATGAGATTTTTCCCTTTCCAATTCAATCAGATTAAATATTGACTTCTGAGTATTTGTCTGCGAAAAATATTTGAACAAACTTAGCAGTTGATTTTATTTAATTTCTTTTCATTCTTTTTAAATTATTATTTTTTATGATTTTTGTTTGTTTTCATTAAAGAGAATATTCAAGGGCGTACACAGGGAAATGGGAGGGGGGGAAATCCCCCCCACCCCTATATGAGCTCCTAGGGGGGGGGGGGGGAACATTTGAACTGTAAATTCAAAACATTTGGTTTCTTGGATACTTTAAAGGTACACACTACACATACAGTCCATTTACATTACAATTACTACTGTATCTCTCTTACAAACAAAACAAAAAAACAAATTTTATTATGTTCTTCACTTTTCAGTTTCAAATTTTAAAAGTGTGATAGCTCTGCCCCCCCCCCCCATTTACAGGTCTAGGGGGTTGGCACTGCCCCCTTGCCCCCCACCCCTTGTAAACACCCTCGAGATTGATATAATGAAAAGAACAGTATATGATATTTTGTTAGATATAGATAGGTAGATAGATATAATAATGTAAATATTAAATAAAAATAAGGAAAGAAATCAGAAATGGAATTAAAGTACAATTTACAGTCAGCTGCTTTGAAAGGAATGTCGTTGTATTTTTAATTGATCTTCTAGTTCAAGATTCACAAAGGTACCCTTTAAGGCCTTAATCTGATCAATTAAATCCTTCTTGGATCAATGCTAGAAGATATCATGATAAACGTTTGATTCTGACAAATTCTGTGTTCTGTTTCCAAAACAGAAATGCGCAAATTGCCGAATAAAGAAAATTGAAGAGAATAAATTTTTTAAAGAGATGATTGATATCTTATGCATTCTTGATCAGGCACAGCTTTTAAGGATACCGAAACCCAAGGTACTAATGCAAGGAAAGTTATTTCAGAGGTGTACGCATTTTTTGTACTGCAGTGTACTCTCTTTGGGCGAAAAAGTAAACGGATGTCACAGCCTGACATGGAATCCATTTTCACAAAAATAATATGAAATATTATGGTCAAAGGAAACTTATGTGAATTATCAAAATTATCAAAAATAAATGCTTTTATCCTGCTCGGATGCTTTAAACACTGATGCATCTATTCTTGTTTACAAACACAGCCCAGAGAGAACTGGTTTCAATATGTACACAGAGTATTTGCAACTGCAATTTAACTTTCCTTGTATTAGTACCTTGTCTAAACCCAGCATGGTACTCAATGAATGGTAGCTCTTTTCACTAATGGAGTTTGCTATCTCCCTAACACGTACAAATATATAAACACAAATACAATTTTGTACTTTAACCTTTTTTTTCATTTCAGGTAGCTCGCGTATCTGTAGCGGAACATATGCAGTATACTTGTCATAAAAGAACTGTACACTGTATGTACTGTAGAGGGAGATTCACAGGTACACGTAAAGTTTAGGCCAGTACAGTATCATGTAACAAGACAGTACAGTATAGTACATGCACATTGTTTTAAATGTTAATGTGCTATAGTGCTAGTGCCATTATTTGCAAGGAATTGAGCATTTGCCCCAAAACTCAAATTTGCAACCTGATGATGTAAACATTGGAACTTAAATTATTTGATCTAACATAAGTCATTGTTTGAAAATCTAAGCTCTGTGACACTTAGTTACAAAAATATATTGATAAAATAAAAATCAGAATTTATGGCAAATATAGCAGAGCTCTCATTGCTCTCATAAAAGAAAGCTAGCATCATTTTAATCATTTTAGAAATTACACTATCGAATTTAAAAAGATTTATTAACGTTTTTAAGGTGGTTAACTGAATTTTTATTTCAGGTTCAAGCATAGAAGCCCATGAAAGAACATGTGGTTTTGAGCCTGTCCCCTGCTCAAACCACTGTGGAATGAGAGTTACAAGAAACAGATTGATGTCCCATCTAAGCTCAGTGTGCAGTAAGCGACAGGCATGTACAATTGCACAGTACGTTCCAGTTTTCTATTGTATACCAATTCTCGAAAATGTAAAAAATGGGGGTTTTATTTATTTTAAATTGTAGTTTTTTGGAAAATAAGATTTTTAAATATTCTTCCAGATCTTTTTATATGTACAGTATTTTTGATCTTGTTTATAAGTTTAACACATTTTTCTTTAGCCATCTTAATTTGGGGAAACAGGTATTTTTTCATTAAGATTAATCAGTTTTAAATGCTAAAATGTATCCAACCATTTTTGAAACAGATTCATGAAACCTTGGAAGATAGGAGGTAAAATGGTTTTAACCTGTGGAGCAATTGGCACGCCACCTGGGTGGGTTTGCGAAATCAAATTTTCAAATTATTATTTTGCACAGTTGATGAAATTGGCATATGCCATTATTATAACTCAAGGGAAGCAAGTTTATGATCACATGCTTATGGCCAAACATTTGTGGAAAGACGTATTCAAATCGCAAATCAAGGTTTTCAATTTTAGTTCTATGGAGAAATTATTTAACCGTTGTCTTCTTATTTTTATGATATTATTTACTCTAGGTCTGTTGTCGTTATTGTTCTGTATTCATGAGCTCAGAGCAGCTACAAAACCACCAACTTCGCTGTTCTGAATATCCTGTTTCTTGTCCGAACAGATGTGGGGCCGAACTACCCCGTCGCCATGTTGGATTCCACGTGGAAGCATGCAGTCAGGATCTTCTCACGTGCATGCACCGGTCCGCCGGGTGTGTCTGGCGCGGGTCAGAACAAGAACTGGTTCAGCATGCTGCTAACAGCACCCAGCATCATCTGAACCTATTGAGCAACCAGTGTAGAGTACAGGCAGAGCTTCTCAAGAACTTGCGTTTAGAGTTGGACGAAGCAAATACGGCTAAAGATGGGATTCTAGTTTGGAAAATATCAGATTTCTGGCGTAAAATGGAGGAGGGAAGGATGACAGAAGGACTGGAGTTGGTCTCACTTCCCTTCTTCACGTCACAGAACGGTTACAAGATGCAGGTTTCCCTGTTCCCGTATGGAAATGGAGGCGGTGAAGGAACGCACATGTCAGTTTACATCAAAGTTTTACCTGGACCTTCGGACGCCATTTTAAAATGGCCATTCAAGCACACCGTTTCCTTCACCTTGTTGGATCAAACTCCAGAGCGGAGGAGTGCGGTCAACGTGGTGGAGTCATTTATACCTGACCCAACCTGGGAAAACTTTAAGCGTGCGTCAAAGCGCACTGACCCGGATCAGTTGGGGTTCGGTTTTCCAAGATTTGTGGCGCACTCTGTGCTCCAGACTAGAAACTATGTGAAGGAGAACGTGATGTTTATTAGAGTTAGAGCGGATCCATCCCAAAGTGTCAAAGTTTAGTCAGAGAACTGTACACAATTAGTAAACTAATTAAAGTAATATCAATATCAATATTTCACGTTTTTAAAATGAAAATTTCTAGTTACTTGCAGTTATATTTTTTGTTATTTACTCACAGAAAAAGTTGTCTGTTTTTCATCCAAACAGTCTTGTTCACGGTTCCTCTAGTTGAATATAATGTTAATTGTTCATAAACCAAAGAATCCCCAAGTCATAATAAATCTGTTACTTACATTTGTCATTTATTTGATACTAGCTGAAGGGCCCGGCGTTGCCTGTGGAATTTAAAAAGAAAAAAAATTTGCCGGTTATAGGGAACATATACAGGGTGTCCCACATCATATTAGAAAGAAAACTGGTCTAAATTACGATTTTCGGGACTAATTAGAAAATTTTATTAGAATGAATCATTTTGAAAAATAACATAAGGCTTATATAAGAATTTTCTTGCGGAAAATGATAAGTTTTTCAAGTATTAAGGGTTTATTTTGGTGTTTTAGAGTGGAGATAATCTAATATGATATGGGACGCTCTGTATATGAATGTCTTGTTTTATTATATAGATTATTTCAACTTTCTGATTTTTGTATTTATAATTATTTATAGTTCCTAGGTCAATGTAATTTCAAGTTACTTTCCATCTAAAGAGGGTCTGCCCGATTCACAAGTTAACCTTTGTACCTTGATCAATATTAAGGAAGATATTGTAGTTTTTTTTTTAAATCTGAAAATTTCATCCATAATATTTCAGTTCATAGAGAGAGACCACAATTTAAAATAATCAACTTGCTAATAAAATTTTTTTTTAAATCTCATACATTCGTGACGAGACAAAGTGTTTAAGGATACCTTTTGTGAATTGTAAATCGGATACTGTGTTCTATAATTTGAGGAGGGGAGGAAAGCTAGCCACAACAATTTCTCATCCGAGCCACATTCTCCTCATTTTTCCGTCCGAGCCACCTTAAAATCGTCGTCGAATTATTATGTGTTTTAAAGTTTCTAATTCTTGAAATTGTTGTGGCTGGCCTTCCTCCGCTCGTTGTAGAGTCACTTGAACTTGTGTCTACAGCTCCTAAAGAATACAAGAAGAAATGGAATATTTATTTTTTGTTTTACCCTTCTTCAAATCATGAAATTATGAGGAGATCATATTGTTTTGAAACTGACAAATTTAACAAAAGGGTTAAAAATGTTTTTAAAGATTTATCAACTGTAACAATTAAAAACCTTAGAGTGACAATTCTTCAATAAATACGAATACTACATTTTTTTGTTTCCTGGTATTGCTTGTCTTTCTTAATTTTCGACAATATTATTCGTACCTTTGCATTTCTCTCTCAATTACTCTGGGTGTGAAGTCAGGGGACCTAATTTTTCTTTCTTTCCAGGGGGGCTCGGCACCCGTTGAGGCCTAAAACCCCCTGAAATTCATAGATTTCATTGGCCCAAGGGGGGGGGGGTTAGCCTTCATTGCCCCCCCCTGAATACGCCTCTGTTCTTACTGTTAACGTATCAAATGTTAGTTTTTGTTCATCTGTTATTTTAAAGGACTAGGCTTTAAGGACGCTTTGCGCCCATCAACTCTTTCAATTGTGAACATGTTCGCTCATTTCATAAAAAAAAATTCGCGGATTTTAAAAATGTAAAAAAATTTTACAAAATTAAAAAAATTTTACAAAATTAAACAAATTTTTAAAAACACTTTTTTAAAATTTTGATCATTCATAAACCTTCCCTGGGATCACGCAAGGTGCCACAAAAAATTAGGCCCGATTGGTTCAGCCGTTTTTACGTTTATTGGATACAACAAACCAACCAACAAACAAACAAAGTATATATACAGATGGGTGAACAGAGCCCAAAACTTAAGACAGGGTATCCTTATGAAAACCAGTTTTAAAACCCGGGTTTGACGAATGGGGTCAGTCAGTTTTGTGGATATCAATATTTTTGTCATGAAATACTATTTTATTTAGTTTCTTTATATTCTCCATTTTTGTCGAATCAAAATCTACAAAATGTTAAGATCCCAAAAAGGACACTCGGGAGTTTCGTTCGACGATACTCTTTTAAATTTCGGACTCAGGAAATAGGGAAGTAGGGTGAAGGCGACCGGACAACATTTTTATTTGTTTGTTTGTTTTTAATATTTATAATGTTTACACTATTTACAATGTTTGCTGTGGACCCTCTACTTTCTACAGTGTGTGTACATAAGGTTTCTATTTCTAGAGTCCGAAACTTTTAAATCAGGGCATCGGTTTAAAACCTAGCTTCGTAAACCCGATTTTATAGAATGGTGTTAAATTTTGTTTGAATATTTTTTCTGATGTTTTCTATACTATTTTTTTATTACATATATTTTTGAATATGATCACTGAAGAAAACTTTGGGTTAATTTTCAACGAAATTATTCTGGTTCCATGATATCCGCATGTTTAATTTTCACTTTGTTTCTCCAAACATTCTTTTTACATTTTTACAGAATTGGAAATTTTAGTTTTGGAAAAAAATAAAGGGTTCGATGTTTCTCTGTGTGATTTGAAAAGAAATGCCGAATGTTATTAGGAAATTTCAGAAAGAGTGGCGTAAAGCGTCATTAATTCCCTCAAAATCTAGGATTGTAAAAGATATATTACTTAACTGATAACAAAGAATTAACTAAAAGAGCACATGACAATTTGGGCTTTGAGACTAATTTTCAAAGTGGCGTGAAGTGTCATGAATTCCCTGAAACATATAAATCTTGAAGATATATTATACTAGTGTATAGAAATGAATATTATACATCCTTGTGAAGGAGTCTTTGTATCTCAACAATAGCGACCATATTTCACACTCAGGAACTATTTATTTTAAATCCTTCCTCCTTCATTCTTTCTTCTCAATCCTTCCTTCTTTAATCTACTTGTAATCCTTCCTTCTTTAATCCTCTTCTAATCCTTCCTTCTTTAATCTTCTTCTAATCCTTCCTTCTTTAATCTTCTTCTAATCCATCCTTCTTTAATCCTCTTTTAATCCTTCCTTCTTTAATCTTCTTGTAATCATTCCTTCTTTAATCTTCTTCTAATCCTTCCTTCTTTAATCTTCTTCTAATCCATCCTTCTTTAATCCTCTTCTAATCCTTCCTTCTTTAATCTTCTT